CCCACTCTTCCACCAAGGCACCTGCAAGTTCCCGGACATTTCTGGGGGCCCTAGCCCTCACCCTCCGATCCAACATGTCCCAGACGTGCTCAATGGGATTGAGATCCGGGCTTTTCGCTGGCCATGGCAGAATACTGACATTCCTGTCTTGCAGGAAATCTCGCACAGAACGAGCAGTATGGCTGGTGGCATTGTCATGCTGGAGGGTCATGTCAGGATGAGCCTGCAGGAAGGGTACCACATGAGGGAGGAGGATGTCTTCCCTGTAACGCACAGCGTTGAGATTGCCTGCAATGACAACAAGCTCAGTCCGATGATGCTGTGACACACCGCCCCAGACCATGACGGACCCTCCACCTCCAAATCGATCCCGCTCCAGAGTACAGGCCTCGGTGTAACGCTCACCCCTGGTGAGACAAAACCGCGACTCGTCAGTGAAGAGCACTTTTTGCCAGTCCTGTCTGGTCCAACGACGGTGGGTTTGTGCCCATAGGCGACGTTGTTGCCGGTTATGTCTGGTAAGGACCTGCCTTACAAAAGACCTACAAGTCCTCAGTCCAGCCTATCTCAGCCTATTGCGGACAGTCTGAGCACTGATGGAGGGATTGTGCGTTCCTGGTGTAACTCAGGCAGTTGTTGTTGCCACCCTGTACCTGTCCCGCAGGTGTGATGTTCGGATGTACCGATCCTGTGCAGGTGTTGTTACACGTGGTCTGCCACTGCGAGGACGATCAGCTGTCCGTCCTGTCTCCCTGTAGCGCTGTCTTAGGCGTCTCACAGTACGGACATTGCAATTTATTGCCCTGGCCACATCTGCAGTCCTCATGCCTCCTTGCAGCATGCCTAAGGCACGTTCACGCAGATGAGCAGGGACCCTGGGCATCTTTCTTTTGGTGTTTTTCAGAGTCTGTAGAAAGGCCTCTTTAGTGTCCTAAGTTTTCATAACTGTGACCTTAATTGCCTACCGTCTGTAAGCTGTTAGTGTCTTAACAACTGTTCAACAGGTGCATGTTCATTAATTGTTTATGGTTCATTGAACAAGCATGGGAAACAGTGTTTAAACCCTTTACAATTAAGATCTGTGAAGTTATTTTGATTTTTACAAATTATCTTTGAAAAACAGGGTCCAGAAAAAGGGACGTTTCTTTTTTTGCTGAGTTTATTTTATATTTGAGATTCTTCAAATAGCCACCCTTTGCCTTGATGACAGCTTTGCACACTCTTGGCATTCTCTCAACCAGCTTCACCTGTCTTGAAGGAGTTCCCACATATGCTGAGCACTTGTTGGCTGCTTTCCTTCACTCTGCAGTCCGACTTATCCCAAACCATCTCAATTTGGTTGAGGTTGGGGGATTGTGGAGGCCAGGTCATCTGACGCAGCACTCCATCACTCTCCTTCTTGGTAAAATAGCCCTTACACAGGTGTGTTGGGTCATTGTCCTGTTGAAAAACAAATGTTAGTCCCACTAAGCCCAAACCAGATGGGATGGCGCGTCGCTGCAGAATGCTGTGGTAGCCATGCTGGTTAAGTGTGCCTTGAATTCTAAATACATCACAGACAGTGTCACCAGCAAAGTACCCCCACACCATAACACCTCCTCCTCCATGCTTTACGGTGGGAAATACACATGGGGAGATTATCCGTTCACCCACACCGCGTCTCACAAAGACTCTCCAGTTTGGACTCCAGACCAAAGGACACATTTCCACCGGTCTAATGTCCATTGCTCGTGTTTCTTGGCCAAGCAAGTCTCTTCTTCTTATTGGTGTCCTTTAGTAGTGGTTTCTTTGCAGCAATTCAACCATGAAGGCCTGATTCACACAGTCTCCTCTGAACAGTTGATGTTGAGATGTGTCTGTTACTTGAACTCTGTGAAGCATTTATTTGGGCTGCAATTTGAGGATGGTAACTCTAATGAACTTTCCTCTGCAGTAGAGGTAACTCTGAGTCTTCCATTCCTGTGGCGGTCCTCATGAGAGCCAGTTTCATCATAGCGCTTGATGGTTTCTGCGACTGCACTTGAAGTTCTTGAAATGTTCCATATTGACTGACCTTCATGTCTTAAAGTATGATGGACTGTCGTTTCTCTTTGCTTATTTGAGCTGTTCTTGCCATAATATGGACTTGGTCTTTTATCAAATAGGGCAATCTTCTGTATACCCAAACAGATCATCGACCATTTCGAATACCACCGTACCTTCTCCGCTATGCAATCCGGTTTCCGAGCTGGTCACGGGTGCACTTCAGCCACGCTCAAGGTCCTAAACGATATTATAACCGCGATTGATAATAGACAGTACTGTGCAGCCGTCTTCATCGACCTGGCCAAGGCTTTCGACTCTGTCAACCACCGCATTCTTATTGGCAGACTAAATAGCCTTGGTTTCTCAAATGACTGCCTCGCCTGGTTCACCAACTACTTCTCAGACAGAGTTCAGTGTGTCAAATCGGAGGGCCTGTTGTCTGGACCTATGGCAGTCTCTATGGGGGTGCCACAGGGTTCAATTCTTGGGCCGACACTTTTCTCCGTGTATATCAATGATGTCGCTCTTGCTGCTGGTGACTCTCAGATCCACCTCTACGCAGACGACACCATTTTGTATACATCTGGCCCTTCATTGGACACTGTGTTAACAAACCTCCAAACGAGCTTCAATGCCATACAACAATCCTTCAGTAGCCTTCAACTGCTCTTAAACACTAGTAAAACTAAATGCATGCTTTTCAATCGAACGCTGCTAGCACCCGCCCACCCGACTAGAATCACCACTCTCGACGGGTCTGACCTAGAGTATGTGGACAACTACAAATATCTAGGTGTCTGGTTAGACTGTAAACTCAACTTCCAGACTCACATAAAGAATCTCCAATCCAAAGTTAAATCTAGAATCGGCTTCCTATTTCGCAACAAAGCCTCCTTCACTCATGCTGCCAAACATGCCCTCGTAAAACTGACTATCCTACCGATCCTTGACTTCGGCGATGTCATTTACAAAATAGCCTCCAACACTCTACTCAGCAAATTGGATGTAGTCTATCACAGTGCCATCCGTTTTGTCTCCAAAGCCCCATACACTACCCACCACTGTGACCTGTACGCTCTTGTTGGCTGGTCCTCACTACATGTTCGTCGTCAAACCCACTGGCTCCAGGCCATCTATAAATCACTGCTAGGCAAATCCCCGCCTTATCTTAGCTCATTGGTCACCATAGCAGCACCCACCCGTAGTCTGCGCTCCAGCAGGTATATCTCTCTGGTCATTCCCAAAGCCAACACCTCCTTTGGCCGCCATTCCTTCCAGTTCTCTGCTGCCAATGACTGGAACGAATTGCAAAAATCTCTGAAGCTGGAGACTCTTATCTCCCTCAATAACTTTAAGCATCAGTTGTCAGAGCACCTTACCGATCACTGCACCTGTACACAGCCCATCTGAAATTAGCCCACCCAACTACCTCATCCCTATATTGTTATTTATTTTGCTCTTTTGCACCCCAGTATCTCTATTTGCACATAATCTCTTGCACATCTAGCATTCCAGTGTTAATACTATTGTAATTATTCTGCACTATAGCCTATTTATTGCCTTACCTCCATAACTTGCTACATTTGCACACAGTGTATATATATTTTCTGTTGTATTTCTGACTTTATGTTTTTTTTTTACCCCATATGTAACTCTGTGTTGTTTTTATTGCACTACTTTGCTTTATCTTGGCCAGGTCGCAGTTGTAAATGAGAACCTGTTCTCAACTGGCTTACCTGGTTAAATAAAGGTGAAATAAAAATAATAATAAAATAAAATACCTTGTCACAACACAACTGATTGGCTCAAACACAATAAGAAGGAAAGACATTTCACAAATTAACTTTTAAGAAGGCACACCTGTTAATTAAAATGCATTCCAGGTGACTACCTCATGAAGCTGGTTGAGCGAATGCCAAGAGTGTGCAAGGCTGTCATCAAGGCAAAGGGTGGCTATTTGAAGAATCTCTAATATAAAATATATTTTCATTTGTTTAACACTTCTTTGGTTACTACATGATTCCATATGTGTTATTTCATAGTTTGATGTCTTCACTATTATTCTACAATGTAGAAAATAGTAAAAATAAAGAAAAACCCTTGAATGAGTAGGTGTTCTAAAACTTTTGACCGGTAGTGTACATATACTAAAGAAAAATATAAATGCAACATGTAAAGTGTTGGTCCCATGTTTCATGAGCTGAAATAAAATATCTCAGAAATGTTCCATATGCACAAAACGCTTATTTCTCTCAAATGTTGTGCACAAATTTGTTTACATCCCTGTTGCTGAGCATTTATCCTTTGCCAAGATGATATGCCACACCTGTCAGGTGGATGGATTAAGAAGCTCATTAAACAGCACGATCATTACACAGGTACACCTTGTGCTGGGGACAATAAAAGGCCACTCTAAAATCTGCAGTTTTGTCACACAACAATGCCACAGATGTCTCAAGTTTTGAGGGAGTGTGAAATTGGCATGCTGACTGCAGGAATGTCCACCAGAGCTGTTGCCAAATAATTGAATGTTGATTTCTCTACCATAAGCTGCATCCAACATCATTTTAGAGAATTTGGCAGTACGTCCAACTAGTCTCACAACCGCAGACCACGTGTAACCACGTCATCCCAGGACCTCTACATCCGGCTTCTTCACCTGCAGGATTGTCTGAGACCAGCCACCCGGACAGCTGATGAAACTGAGGAGTATTTATGTCTGTAATAAAGCCTTTTTGTGGGGAAAAACTCATTCTGATTGGCTGCGCCCCTGCCCAGTCATGTGAAATCCATAGATAAGGCCCTAATGAATTTATTTCAATTGACTGCTTTCCTTATATGAACTGTATCTCGTTGAAATTGTTGCATGTTGCGTTTATATTTTTGTTCAGTATACATACATACATAAATACGCACACACAAACATATGTTAAGAGCTGAAGTTGATGACGTTACGCTCACCCTCCACACCACTCTCCGGACGACCGATGCCCCACTGCTCCCATTGGCTGGTCATCTGAGGAAGAGGGAAGTGAGCCAACCAGACAAGAGTAGAAACCATGGCACATTACTGAATTAACTGACTACCCATACTGCCACTCAAAATGTGTGTCTATTTGGTCAACTGTGTGTGTCAAGTGTGAGTAGGTGCTCAGTGTGTGTGTTTTATAGCAGGTGCTTATTCTAAGAGGAGTGTAAGTAGGTGCTCAATGTATATGTAGTGTTGTCAGTAGTCCTAATTAGTGTAATAAGGAGTAGCAAGTGTTTGTGTGAGTGTGTGCGTTCCTGAAGACTCACAAGACTCTGTGGAAAGGTGTGGCACCAGGACAAAGTCGTCCGTGTCGCTGGAGGAGTTCTTGCTGCTGGTGCTTCCTCCAGACTCCTTAGACAGCTGCAGGTAGTTGGGAGGGCCCAGGGGTGGTGACGACAGACAGTCCTCAGGTAACGTCTGCATGTCTGGGAGAGACTGGAGAAGGGAAGGGGTATGTGTGTGTTGTAGTGAGCAAAAGGTGTGTTTATGTGTGTGTGTGTGTATATGTGTTAGGAGGGTAGGGCAAGAGAAAGAAAGCGAGAGGATTAAATCTCAGTGAGAGAGAGGGCTTGGCTGTACAATTCAATTAGAGCCAGACTGGGCTATGTAGACTGCCAGAATAATTCAATCACAGTGGACAGAGAAAAAAAGTACATCCTTGGGAAACTCAGTTTGTCCGTTTTCCCACTGAGCTACTGTACAAAGTCTGGATTCTTAAGTGCTGAGTGTTGAGGTGTGGTGCTATGCCTTGAGGTACGGATAAACCCACTTGGTGTGGAATGCAACTATGAGGTGTATAGGCAGTCAGGATGAACTTACGGCAGGAGAGTTGTAGCGAACAGAGGGCGAGCTGCCACAGGTGATGTCGGTTACAGCGCTAGGGCAGTTGGGTACTGGAACAGGACATGCTGGAGAAAAAACATACAAATACATGTTTTCACACAAGACCTAAGTGCTCTCAACATCAATGTCATCTCACAATACAGCTCTGATACCACATGTATTTCCCCCTGTTATTGATGAAGGAAGTTCTATCTACTCACATTTTTTGATGGCAGAAGCTGGATCTAAGAAAGGATGGCTGAAAAACGCATCTGAAGCAGAAACAAGACAGAAGTGTTAATGTTAGAGAAGTAACATCCAATTTATGGATAACAAACATTACGTTTTAAATCATTTCCTTTCTAGAAGGGAAGTGAAGTCAGAACTGACCGAAGTCCATCCTGTCCTTCTGGTTCCTCTGCAGCAGGCCAAGCAACAGGTTGCCAAGGGGAGGAGACGTCTCCCTCGGGATGCTAAGTAATAGAGGAACAGACATACATTCTAGTTAAAAACATGACTTTTCAGCCCTAAAGGACTCGATCAGATAGCTAGTAATTCCTAAATCCTATCATCTGTTGACCTACATGGGCAGCAGCGACTTGTTCTTCTCATAGAACATCCTCAGGTCCTGCGGACTGTTGGCCTAAAGACAGAGAGAGAGAGAGAGTGAGAGACAGAGAGAACAGAGTGACAGGGGGTTTGTATACTACTTCTATAAACACACACCATGGGTGACATTTTTCTCTTGCAGAGGCATATGGTATTTTTTCCCACACAGTTTAATGCTGCTCTCTCTCTCTCCATCCTACCTGGAAAGGGGGCTTCCCCACGAGACACTGGTAGACGACCGTCCCAATGCTCCAAAGGTCTGCCTTGGCGTCATAGTTCTGAGACATGATCACTTCCGGGGCCTGGTTAGAGGACAGAGGTTAGAGGTCAAGCTCCGAAAGGACCGTTCCAGTTGCAAGTTGCTGAGTAAGCGGTGCTGTTGTCACAGGAGGACAAGAGACTGCAGACACGACACCCTTACACACACAATGAACACTAACACACACATGCTCACACGCCCACTCACACCCACTCACCATGTACATGGGGGAGCCACACAGCGTGGCAGCCATCATGTTGCTCTGGAGGTATCGTGCGAAGCCAAAGTCAGCTGAAAGAGAGAAGGCCGTCAGTCTGTCGGTCTGTCTGTGTTATTAATAGCTACTATTGTCCGAGTGTCACAACTCCTATTCCCAAGCCTCTCAGACACTAGACAATTGGGCACTCAACATCAGTCAACACACCTTCCGGGAATAGCACAAGCAGCAAACTAAATATAGCTGTAGGGTTCAAAACAACTAACCATGACCTTAGCTAGCTATCACTGTGGTGCATCGTAACATAACATAACATTTGATATATGACACTTGTGTGACACAATAAGACAAATAATATGATGGCTAACAGTTCATGGATAGGCCATCTCTATATACAGTCGTGGACAAAGGTTTTGAGAATGACACAAATACTAAGTCTGCTGCCTCAGTTTTGATGATGGCTATTTGCACATACAGTGGGGGAAAAAGTATTTAGTCAGCCACCAATTGTGCAAGTTCTCCAACTTAAAAAGATGAGAGAGGCCTGTAATTTTCATCATAGGTACACGTCAACTATGACAGACAAAATGAGAAAAAAATATCCAGAAAATCACATTGTAGAATTTTTAATGAATTTATTTGCAAATTATGGTGGAAAATAAGTATTTGGTCAATAACAAAAGTTTCTCAATACTTTGTTATATACCCTTTGTTGGCAATGACACAGGTCAAACGTTTTCTGTAAGTCTTCATAAGGTTTTCACACACTGTTGCTGGTATTTTGGCCCATTCCTCCATGCAGATCTCCTCTAGAGCAGTGATGTTTTGGGGCTGTCGCTGGGCAACACAGACTTTCAACTCCCTCCAAAGATTTTCTATGAGGTTGAGATCTGGAGACTGGCTAGGCCACTCCAGGACCTTGAAATGCTTCTTACGAAGCCACTCCTTCGTTGCCCGGGCGGTGTGCTTGGGATCATTGTCATGCTGAAAGACCCAGCCACGTTTCATCTACAATGCCCTTGCTGATGGAAGGAGGTTTTCACTCAAAATCTCACGATACATGGCCCCATTCATTCTTTCCTTTACACGGATCAGTCGTCCTGGTCCCTTTGCAGAAAAACAGCACCAAAGCATGATGTTTCCACCCCCATGCTTCACAGTAGGTATGGTGTTCTTTGGATGCAACTCAGCATTCTTTGTCCTCCAAACACAACGAGTTTAGTTTTTACCAAAAAGTTCAATTTTGGTTTCATCTGACCATATGACATTCTCCCAATCCTCTTCTGGATCATCCAAATGCACTCTAGCAAACTTCAGACGGGCCTGGACATGTACTGGCTTAAGCAGGGGGACACGTCTGGCACTGCAGGATTTGAGTCCCTGGCGGCGTAGTGTGTTACTGATGGTAGGCTTTGTTACTTTGGTCCCAGCTCTCTGCAGGTCATTCACTAGGTCCCCCCGTGTGGTTCTGGGATTTTTGCTCACCGTTCTTGTGATCATTTTGACCCCACGGGGTGAGATCTTGCGTGGAGCCCCAGATTGAGGGAGATTATCAGTGGTCTTGTATGTCTTCCATTTCCTAATAATTGCTCCCACAGTTGATTTCTTCAAACCAAGCTGCTTACCTATTGCAGATTCAGTCTTCCCAGCCTGGTGCAGGTCTACAATTTTGTTTTTGGTGTCCTTTGACAGCTCTTTGGTCTTGGCCATAGTGGAGTTTGGAGTGTGACTGTTTGTGGTTGTGGACAGGTGTCTTTTATACTGATAACAAGTTCAAACAGGTGCCATTAATACAGGTAACGAGTGGAGGACAGAGGAGCCTCTTAAAGAAGAAGTTACAGGTCTGTGAGAGCCAGAAATCTTGCTTGTTTGTAGGTGACCAAATACTTATTTTACACCATCATTTGCAAATAAATTCATAAAAAATCCTACAATGTGATTTTCTGGATTTTTTCTTCTCAATTTGTCTGTCATAGTTGACGTGTACCTATGATGAAAATTACAGGCCTCTCTCATCTTTTTAAGTGGGAGAACTTGCACAATTGGTGGCTGACTAAATACTTTTTTCCCCCCACTGTACTCCAGAATGTCATGAAGAGTGATCAGATGAATTGCAATTAATTGCAAAGTCCCTCTTTGCCATGAAAATGAACTTAATCCCCAAAAAACATTTCCATTGCATTTCAGCCCTGCCACAAAAGGACCAGCTGCCATCATGTCAGTGATTCTCTCGTTAACACAGGTGAGAGTGTTGACGAAGACAAGGCTGGAGATCACTCTGTCATGCTGATTGAGTTAGTATAACAGACTGGAAGCTTTAAAAAGGAGGGTGGTGCTTGAAATCATTGTTCTTCCTCTGTTAACCATGGTTACCTGCATGGAAACACGTGCCGTCTTCATTGCTTTGCACAAAAAGGGCTTCACAGGCAAGGACATTGCTGCTAGTAAGATTGCACCTAAATCAACCATTTATCGGATCATCAAGAACTTCAAGGAGAGAGGTTCAATTGTTGTGAAGAAGGCGTCAGGGCACCCAAGAAAGTCCAGCAAGTCTCCTAAAGTTGATTCAGCTGCGGGATCGGGGCACCACCAGTGCAGTGCTTGCTCAGGAATGGCAGCAGGCAGGTGTGAGTGCATCTGCACGCACAGTGAGGCGAAGACTTTTGGAGGATGGCCTGGTGTCAAGAAGGGCAGCAAAGAATCCACTTCTCTCCAGGAAAAACATCAGGGACAGACTGATATTCTGCAAAAGGTACAGGGATTGGACTGCTGAGGACTGGGGTAAAGTCATTTTCTCTGATGAATCTCCTTTCCGATTGTTTTGGGCATCCGGAAAACACCTTGTCCGGAGAAGACAAGGTGAGCGCTACCATCAGTCCTGTGTCATGCCAACAGTAAAGCATCCTGAGACCATTCATGTGTGGGGTTGCTTCTCAGCCAAGGGAGTGGGCTCACTCACAATTTTGCCTAAGAACACAGCCATGAATAAAGAATGGTACCAACACATCCTCCGAGAGCAACTTCTCCCAACCATCCAAGAACAGTTTGGTGACGACCAATGCCTTTTCCAGCATGATGGAGCACCTTGCCATAAGGAAAAAATTATAACTAAGTGGCTCGGGGAACAAAACATCGACATTTTGGGTCCATGGCCAGGAAACTCCCCAGACCTTAATCCCATTGAGAACTTGTGGTCGATCCTCAAGAGGCAGGTGGACAAACAAAAACCCACAAATTCTGACAAACTCCAAGCATTGATTATGCAAGAATGGGCTGCCATCAGTCAGGATGTGGCCCAGAAGTTAATTGACAGCATGCCAGGGCGGATTGCAGAGGTCTTGAAAAAGAAGGGTCAACACTGCAAATATTGACTCTTTGCATAAACTTAATGTAATTGTCAATAAAAGCCTTTGATACTTATGGAATGATTGTAATTATACTTCAGTATACCATAGTAACATCTGACAAAGATATCTCATAACACTGAAGCAGCGAACTTTGTGAAGACCAATACTTGTGTCATTCTCAAAACTTTTGACCACGACTGTACACAGTATAAACAGTATTTATGTCATAGAAACATTCTGAAGGTGTGAAGAATTAAAGGGATAGTTCTCTTTTAAGTTTTAGCTTAGTTTTAACTGAGTGTGTGTTGTGTTTGAGGGGCTGGGGGCTGGGTTGGTCAGTCACCTATTTTGATGCGGATGCCGTTGATGCTGGATCTCTTGCGGCTCGTGTATGACAGTAGGATGTTCTGTGGTTTCAGGTCTCGGTGGATGATGCCTTTACTGTTGAGGATCCTCATGGCTGCTGCTATCTGCTGGAGGAACACCCTCAGAGTATCTTCTCTCAGTGTCCCCTTGGCTAGGGAGAGCAGAGAAAAACAACTTACCCACAATCCTTCATTATACAGTATAAATGTATTGGCACATAATGTATGATGACCAGGGATTTAGTGGTAAAAGACTACTACACCCACACTGGCGATTAGCATATTTTATCCATACAAAACTACATTACCCATAATGCACTGAAATCTCTATAAAAGACATTACCCACCCACTATGCACTAGTCTAGAGGCCACATAGACAATTCTTTACAACCATTTTACACACTAACGTTTCACCCACACTGATCATTAACATGTATTTACAGTTTTAGATTTAGATTTTAGTCATTTAGCAGACACTCTTATCCAGAGTGACTTACAATAGTGAGTGCATCCATTTTCATACTTTTCCCCCCGTGGGAAACGAAACCCACAACTCTGGCATTGCAAGCGCCATGCTCAACCAACTGAGCCACATGGGATCCATACAAAACATTTGCCAGCAGTTATACACACTCAATACCTCTATATCCCTGATGCTTTGCAATAATTACTGATTGCCTCAGCTTACATTTAAATGATTGAGATGCACTGATATCAATGAGAGAAATGCATTAAAACTTCTACATCAGGATGCATTGGGAGAGCTCTGTCACCACAACTGCACACTGAATCCAAGGGAAAGCAACCCGCACAAAATGCTTATTCTGCAAGTAGTCTATATATTTTATGCAAGCACAACCGATTAGGCTAGTAATTGTTTGAACATTAGCAGCCTACGTAATAAAAGTATTAACAGTGAAGGTTACTGTAGCTAGGATAAGAGGTCGGCCAGTGGAGTGTGCCTGGTCCCTGCATGTCCTGATTGTAGTGAAACAACAACATTAGCTAATCCAGTGAGCTGCTAGCTAAGAGGATTCCTGGGTCTCTAAAGGGTAAACCAACCCATTATGGTCACAATGGATCTTGTGTCAACCTAACCGTGCTTACACACATTTATCAGGGATTTAAAGTACAACAGAGTAACACTCTCTCTAAAGTACAACAGTGGCAACTTCTTCTAAACGCAGCAAAGTTGTGTAATTAGTGAAATAACATAACATGGTTGTGTGGTGCTATTATACAATTAGGGTTTATAAGGGAGAGAGAGAGAGAGACAGAAATAGAGAGTGCAACAAAGAGGGAGAGTGCGACAGAAAGGGGGAGAGTGCGACTGTGCTTGCACGCTAGAAGAGAGAGGTACAGACACTGTACCGTGCCCTGAGGTGACGTGAGAGCGTGCACCTGTACAACATAAAAAAAACAGTTCCCCTGATAACAAGTGAATCAGAACACAACATGAGGACCAGAGTCCACAACACTGCTTTCCTCTGTACACCAGTATCTACACTAAACCTGGTGCCCTGGGACATTCTGTTCCTCAGTGCCTTTTTAGACTCCGCATTGACCTCTTGTTATGGTGTCCATTTCATGATGACCTCTCTTTCTTTCTCTGTTACTCAACTGTAGCTCTGCTGGGATTAACGCATACAGTGAGGGAAAAAAGTATTTGATCCCCTGCTGATTTTGTACGTTTGCCCACTGACAAAGAAATGATCAGTCTATAATTTTAATGGTAGGTTTATTTGAACAGTGAGAGACAGAATAACAACAAAGAAATCCAGAAAAATGCATGTCAAAAATGTTATAAATTGATTTGCATTTTAATGCGGGAAATAAGTATTTGACCCCATCTCAATCAGAAAGATTTCTGGCTCCCAGGTGTATTTTATACAGGTAACGAGCTGAGATTAGGAGCACACTCTTAAAGGGAGTGCTCCTAATCTCAGCTTGTTACCTGTATAAAAGACACCTGTCCACAGAAGCAATCAATCAATCAGATTCCAAACTCTCCACCATGGCCAAGACCAAAGAGCTCTCCAAGGATGTCAGGGACAAGATTGTAGACCTACAGAAGGCTGGAATGGGCTACAAGACCATCGCCAAGCAGCTTGGTGAGAAGGTGACAACAGTTGGTGCGATTATTCGCAAATGAAAGAAACACAAAATAACTGTCAATCTTCCTCGGCATGGGGCTCCATGCAAGATCTCACCTCGTGGAGTTGCAATGATCATGAGAATGGTAAGGAATCAGCCCAGAACTACACGGGAGGATCTTGTCAATGATCTCAAGGCAGCTGGGACCATAGTCACCAAGAAAAACATTGGTAACACACTACGCCGTGAAGGACTGAAATCCTGCAGCGCCCGCAAGGTCCCCCTGCTCAAGAAAGCACATATACAGGGCCGTCTGTAGTTTGCCAATGAACATCTGAATGATTCAGAGGAGAACTGGGTGAAAGTGTTGTGGTCAGATGAGACCGAAATCGAGCTCTTTGGAATCAACTCAACTCGCCGTGTTTGGAGGAGGAGGAATGCTGCCTATGACCCGAAGAACACCATCCCCACCGTCAAACATGGAGGTGGAAACATTATGCTTTGGGGATGTTTTTCTGCTAAGGGGAGAGGACAACTTCACCGCATCAAAGGGACGATGGACGGGGCCATGTACCGTCAAATCTTGGGTGAGAACCTCCTTCCCTCAGCCAGGACATTGAAAATGGGTCGTGGATTGTTATTCCAGCATGACAATGACCCAAAATACACGGCCAAGGCAACAAAGGAGTGGCTCAAGAAGAAGCACATTAAGGTCCTGGAGTGGCCTAGCCAGTCTCCAGACCTTGCTCCCATAGAAAATCTGGGAGCTGAAGGTTCGAGTTGCCAAACGTCAGCCTCGAAACCTTAATGACTTGGAGAAGATCTGCAAAGAGGAGTGGAACAAAATCCCTCCTGAGATGTGTGCAAACCTGGTGGCCAACTACAAGAAACGTCTGACCTCTGTGATTGCCAACAAGGGTTTTACCACCAAGTACTAAGTCATGTTTTGCAGAGGGGTCAAATACTTATTTCCCTCATTAAAATGCAAATCAATTTATAACATTTTTGACATGCGTTTTTCTGGATTTTTTTGTTGTTATTCTGTCTCTCACTGTTCAAATAAACCTACCATTAAAATTATAGACTGATCATGTCTTTGTCAGTGGGCAAACGTACAAAATCAGCAGGGGATCAAATACTTTTTTCCCTCACTGTAACTACCTGCTGTTGACATTGTCATACATATGCAAATATGATCCATATCAACAGGGATATAGGTGTGTGTGTTATGCAATTCACTGCTATAAACTGCTATACCAATCAAGTTAACGATATACCATGTTGACCTCCACAAGCAGCATCCTATTAAGACATTCAGTGCTTGGTGCTTTCTTGGGAAGCATTATGAGAGACGAGTGACCTTTGAGACTGGCGTCAGAGCTATGCTGACCTTGGTGCTAAAGAAGGAACCCATTGTGTCATATCACTGTGTTGGCTCCTACACACAGCATTCCCTTCCACTGGGAACATACACCACACACACAGACAGAAGGCGGCAGACAGAGACGCACACAAAAGTACCCACACTCCTCTCCACTGCTAGTTACTTTGTTTTGATGAATAATACCCAGTGTGTGTGTTGAGATTAGTGTGATGCTTACCTTGCAGATAGTCAGCCAGATCGCCACCGTTGCAGTACTGTGGGGAGGAACAAGACAAAAAAAAAAACATTATATTAGCAGGCTGTGTAAGAACAACACGGATTAACAGTATCAATCTGTGTGTGTGTGTGTACGTGCAACCACAAAGCCCAGATAACGATGGGTCTCATGAATTAAAATCTGATGAATGGCTATGCTGGTATCAGTACTGACAGTCTCTGTTAATCCTGGCTTAGTCAACACAGAGAGTAGGAAGGAGAGAGGGAGAGTACTACAAGAAAGAGAGAGAGAGTTAGGGAGAGAGTTAGAGAAAAGGTGTGACGGAGCAGGGGAGAGAAAGTGGAGGAGAAACAGAGGGGAGCTAAGTGGTAGGCTAATTTATGCTAGCATCTACCCGCTGTCTGTCCACCATTTTCCAGTTCCGTCAGTTGAACCACCAATTACATCCTGTTGGTTACCAGAGCTTCCTCTGACCAAAGCATTTGTTTGATCTGGCCTTAAAAGAGCCTCATCACAGTGACCGGTAGGATCTGACTCCAGTTCAGTTCATTACCACACCATGTTGTTTACCCTTTGTGCAGGAAAATCAATTACAGCTCAGATCCTTATATTGACATGAGACACGGGAAGATGGATGCTCTGTGTGTATGTCAACCCTTTTACTGCGAGCAGCAGAGGCATTGAGCAGGGTTTCAATAACACATTGTTAGGGGTCTGCCATACCCACACAGTGCTAGGGTAACATTCATATATTTCACTATTATGGGGGTGCCCACATTGATTGCTGTAAAGTTTGGGATGCCATGATTGGTTAAAGGGCCATCATTCTATTCTAGTGAATCTATCCTACTAATTTTTGTGCGAGGACAATAATTTATGATGTACACTGCACATGAATAATATTCGGTCCAATAAAAAGACTGCTTTGCTTCATACGGAGAGTCAATGTTGCAGCTGAAAGGGCAGTGTTTCCCCTAAAACAGTATCCTTTTTAATGTGTTCCAACCGGTGCCAAAATGCTGGAGCGTGAGCCTTGAGCGCTGACCGCTTAATAAGTGACTGCTTAATAAGTAATAATTCATCTGATCCCTCCTCTAACCTTTGCGTAAGACAAGCCTTTCTTAATAAGCAAAACAAGCAGTCTGGCAAACACCAACTGGATTAGCATCCATGCTAGCCTAGTGTCAATGCTATCTATGCCCATCTCTCTGGTAGTGGTATATCATTGATTAAGCAGCCTGCTAGCTATCAGACCAAGGTTGAACAGTGCTCAGAGGCTTGGAACTGTTTTTCTCAGAGGCTTAAGTCTGTTTGGTCTCCTGTGCCAGGAGACCCTGCCTCCTTAGTGTCAGTGTGGCTCTAAGAACAACAGCTCTGTCTACAACAACAAGCTAGAACACCCCCCAGGCAGGCCAAGGTAACATGTACCAGGGTCCCATGACACCTTGCTCAGCCAGTTACTTTAACAACAGCTAGAATATAAGAATGGCAGAATAAGTTTTGCTCTTGAATAACAGGATTCTTTTCAAATCGGGGTTTGGGTGTACAGGTATATTTTTAGAGGGCTACTTAAGGTGGCGCACAGTTTTTTTTTTCTTCCTTCAGGCGGTTTGTGGAATTTTGTGGTCTTGAGCAATGAGAGGGAGGGGAGAGAGAGAATAAGTAGAAGAGGGAAGGAGAGAGGCGAGGCTGAGTGAGGACAGGAGACGCTGGGTTTGCAGCCTCTCATAGGACTGAGGAAATTACCATGGGCACGTGGAGAGAGAGTGAGCGTGGGGGGGTTGGTGGGGGGGGTAAGTAAGCAGATAGAAAGAGGGGAGAGGTATCAACACAAAGATAGAGATCCTGGCAGCCTACAGGTCGAAGAGGTTCCATTCTGAGAGTGTGACACTCCACATACCTCCATGACCAGGAACACAGAGTTGGGAGTTTCCTGGAAGAGAGAAGAGAAACAACATGGGTTAGAGTGATTATCTCTCTCAACACCGGTCACATCCACTACATAGAGGAACAGCTTCGTCAAACAGACTGACATGTGGGTATGGCGCAGACAGATATAGCCTACATACTGTATATATGGATCATATGTGTACAGTACGGAGAATAGGATTTATTTGCCACCCAGCATGAACTGAAGCCCATAGCACAACTGATCTGGATTATATCCGTACAGTAGAGTAGCTGGCTCCAATCTACAGACACATTGATACCCTCATCCTCATCTCACACTGTGGGACTGACACTGGGTTGAGATCAAATTGGCACCCCTCAAGACAAAGTGCCGTCCTTAGTGAACCCCTCACCTCCAAGCTGTGTCGTGCTACCGTCTACATTCTTGAAGGGAGAGTAATGGAGTTCATTACACAGCAGGGCCAAGCGGAGGTTGTTGGGGTGTGTGTGTTCGGCTATTGGGTTCAAGGGAACTGGGAAATGTGACAGATATAGGAGCTACCTTGTCAACATGGTGATGGAGGAGCTAAGAAGATGCTGGACAGGAGCCAAGTAACACAAATCAGGCCTCCAGGTTAAGCAAACAAGCTCACATGTATTTGGGGGAGTGTTTGGGTGTGTGTGGTGTCAGGTTAAGGGTACTGCAGCATATGGCAGATCAAGCAACTTGGCGTGTGCATGAAGTTCTCATCAACAACATCAACCATAAAGAACACAACTGTCGTCACACATTTTCCAATCCCTTCAGCGCCATTCTAAGTAGGCTATCTATGATTAGATCCAGAAGTGTTTCTTGTGACCATGTGACATGACCAGGCAAAACCCATTTCCATGATTGATTCTAGGTGTGAAGGAAATAGCCTGTCACATGAAAGGCTTCTTTCATTTCTAAGGAGCGTATGAGTTCAAAGAAATGTAATGGCATTATTTTCTGTGTACCGTACTAACTAATCATAGTGTCTCAGAAAATACATTATTTGTCTACCAACAGCCATACTAGTCAGTTACTGGACTGCATTAATCTCTGGTTCTAATGGTCTCTCAGCCAAGGTCTCCAGATGGAGAGCAACCACCACTGCCTTCACTCCGCAAACCAGCCACCCATTAATTCCACTTGAGCGCTTTCCTGTCAGCTGACCTGTCAGCCTGCACCAGGCTTATTGGCTGGGCCACCTCCTCCCTGGCCAATCCCATTGGCTTGTGGCTATAGATACTAGGATAATGGGATTCTAGGATGCTGCTGTTGGGTTGTAGCAATGGGGGAGGGGAGACGTAGGGAGGCCCCACCACCACCACCATTATCCGCTCTGGTCGGTGTGTGTGTGTGTGTGTGTGTGGTGGTTGGTCTTGGCCTGGGGAAGATTACATAACGAGCTGTTTTCAGCCCCTGCTCTATACTGGTTGATGGGGGAGATGGGGACTGGGAGAGGAAGAATAGGAGGAGAGGAAAGAAGGGACTTGGCCAGGCTGGACACTGTTCTGGAGGGGGAGGGTAAGTGATACGTGAGAGTTACAAATACAGGACAGCCTCACCCCCTTTAACCTCCAGCCCTCAGTAGGTTGACAATGAACTGTCTATGCCACCATAAAATCAATCCTACAATAGCGTCCAAAACCTCTTCAATGGTCCAAATCTAGACTAAGTGACACTCACTATTTTCTAAGGCAGTGGTTGGATATAGCTGTTGTTATTATCGTCAACACGTTTACCACAAGAGAGGAGACACCCAGTGAGTCAGAATGTACTGTCACACAAAACACTATCGGATGGACTTTGGACACAGACACACAAGACCAACTGCCAACTGGGTTATTCTATATAACCCTCAAACCTCAACGGAATACGCCAAAACAAAAACAGCAGCACAAACAATTCTGCTTCCTGCTATCCAACATCAGCAGCCCCTCACAAACACAGGTAGTCATATTCCACTTATAAAAGCATTTCACAATCCTTCTATTCCCATCCACTTGCTAGATGGAAAACCACTGAGTCACCAGGCTTTCCAGCCAGTTATGCCACAAACAAGCTTTGATTGATGCTCTTCTAGGAAACACTAGAAGGAACAGTACTACATCAGCTCTAAGAAATGTTGTTGTCTTGAGGAGGGAAACTCAAACCCTCCCCCAACCATTTTCCACCGCTTCAGCCCTCCACCTCACAGAAATGTTTAGAATGGCAACACAACTCTAGAGCCGGGCCAAAACAACAACGTATTGTCAGTGTCTGTCCTGCTTGTTGCGTCACACGGATGACTATGAGTCCTGGGCTACATAAGGTAACAGAGAGAGAAGAGAGGGGAGGGGAGGGGGCCTGCTGGGCTCAGTTTAAAATTGCTGAGGACTTCAGAGAATAGGGTTCCATATGTGGACTGGAAATCCACCCGGCACGCATCTGTTACGCAAATTCAGAGTAATCCTGAGCATTCTGAGAACCAAGTATCTAGCCTAGTCTAATATTACTGCATGCTAGATACATAGCTGTGTCACACCCTATGACAGACACTGTGGTGATTATATGACGGATGTTATAATGATTATAGGATGCTGTGAGAGCATTGTTCTGTTAATGTGTTTCAGAGACAGGGTGAACCCTTAGGGCAGCAGGGGACATACTGCGTTGTTAGTGGTGGCACGGGACCTGTTGGTGTTTTGATCACACATGTGCACAATACACACACTCACAGTGGTGATCTACTCACAGTGGTGATCTACTCACAGTGGTGATCTACTCACAGTGGTGATCTACTCACGAGTGTCCAGAAATTAGGCCAACTAACAAGAGGTATCCCGCTCCTCTTCCCTCTCCTTAGGCCAAGACAAGACAGAGGAAGCATAGAAAAGGCAGTACTGTGCAATAAAGAATGTCAGGAAAATATTGACTCAGACTGTTGTTGTTGTCAGAAAAGCATAATGAAAGTAGATGCCTCTAGCATAAGACTTTCTCCTTGCTTGATGCATATGGAACCCAACATGTTTGTGTGTGTGTGTCATTATCCCTCCCTTGGGGTGAACAGAGCACACAAACTACTCCCAGCTATTCTAAGACCTACAGTATTATAATTTACCATACCGTCAACTTTTTCCTACCTTTTCTTTATATTTGAAAGGTATTGCCGATTTCAAAACCTAAAATTATATTTACGCCAAACGACCTATTTGCTGTAAATGAGAATGTGTTCTCAGTCAACTTACCTGATAAAAGGTAAGAATAAACCCAGTCGTAATGCTGAGGCGGCATTGGGACACACTACCCACTTAAACGCTACGCTCTTAAACTCTTGCTAGGCAGCGCCCTGTTACCATCCTCCTGGCAGTTCTAACCTTTGCAAGGCATGTCACTACGCCCATCTCTTCGCTTAGCCCACCACATGCACTGTTTTCTTAACCACAACTGGATGGATCCATAAATACTTACTGTGGGAATAAATATCACTTAATGATGAACATACTGGAATAAAGTAGCCTAATGCAATTGAAGGCATCAAACTGTTGCTTACTGAAACTCCCAAAGTCATCCAATCCTTGTAATACATTTGAAGCAATAGCCTACCTGCGTGTGGTCAACTAGATTATAATTTCAGCACAGTTTTGATAGGGACAGCGCCATCGCTCTGCTTTGAGACAAGCGTGGGGGCTCATCTTGATAAATCAATCAACGTAAGACCATTGTTTTCACTGAATCTCCATTTGGATATTGGTTAGGCTACAATTAGGCTGTGGAAATGTTAGCTAAGATGAGGTGAGTACTGCTCATGATGATGATGTCTAGTGGGCTCATTTATTAGAACATTTTGCCATGTTATGTAGCTTAACAAGTGGATTATTTTGTTCTTTACTCAAAGTCGCCACGGCCTACTCCCGACCAAAAGCCTGCGACTTCACTGGCTTGTCTGATAACCAATCAATGTGATTTTGTTTCACTGAATGTCTATCAGTATAGGCTATTTAGTTAATTGGCTTCTGGCTGAGCAAATATGTGGAGGTGGTATAGAGCTTATCTATTTGTTTGCTCATCTATCACTGATCAGAAACATGTAGCATGCAATAAATGTTGCCTAAATCAAGAGTAGGCCTATTATTTTGCTCAATCACATATAGGTAACTCACATGCTTTTGAAAATTGGATTGCTATTATTTTCTATCGGTATCATGATAAAGACAAGACCCTAATGCCTGCTCCCAAACAAAGTGTAGTGAGGGTAGGAAAGAGATGAAACCTGGATAAAAAAAAGCATGGGCTTGGGCTCTGTTTCAAAATATCACTTTTTTAATAGGACAGCGGTTCCACACGTTCCCATGAAACAAGTTGTGTGGGGGAAATATTATATGTATTTTATTATTTTACATTCCATTATATTCTTCTTACTATAAAATATATGTGTGTTGACTGTGATCTGGTAACATTTTACATTTACATTTTAGTCATTTAGCAGACGCTCTTATCCAGAGCGACTTACAGTTAGTGATTACATTTTTTTTATTTTTATACTGGCCCCCCGTGGGAATCGAACCCACAACCCTGGCGTTGCAAACGCCATGCTCTATCAACTGAGCTATATCCCTGCCGGCCATTCCCTCCCCTACCCTGGACGACGCTGGGCCAATTGTGCGCCGCCCATGAGTCTCCCGGTCGCGGCCGGCTGCGACAGAGCCTGGATTCGAACCAGGATCTCTAGTGGCACAGTTAGCACTGCGATGCAGTGCCTTAGACCACTGCGCCACTCAGGAGTACAGTAAGTGTGTCTTTTCGGTTTAAATGAACAAAATAACTATTGATTTCATTTGCATGGCACAGCCATGGCTGCACAGACCCGTAACATTGGCCTAATTAAACTCAAAATATGCTATTCTATTATTTTGAAAATACATTTTATTAGTCTTATGTTTCTTAGGACCTGCCTAAACAAATTAATAATGGTTTCCTTTGATGGTGTATATTCTCAATGGATTTATTAAAAAAGACGCCCATCCACATCTACATACCACTACTACCACTCCTCCCCGGCATGCGCACGAGGCAAGAATGTGGTAAGGGGGTCATATAGACATTGGGCACTCGCTAAATACCGTAAATCCTATGTG